TATGACGTTCTGGTAATATGCTTTTCCAAGTGCCGCATACCTCATTAACCGTATGCCTACTGCTGTCCAAAATAAAGATGCACCGTTTTTAAATTTATTTCACAAAAAAAATCATTTGCATCCTTGAGGGGGTTTGGATACTTATGTTTATCCATGACTCAAACCTTACACAAAGCATAAGCTTGAACCTCGGTCTCGTCCATGTGTTCACCTTGGTTTTCAAATTGCTAGTCATTCTCATGTTTGTCTTGATGGATAAACAAAAAAACTTATTTATATCTCGTCAAGTTGTTTTCAATGAAAATATTTTTCCTTTTGAAACAATTCCGCTTCTAAGTTTTCCAATGCTCTTTTTTTCAGCAAGAAAAAAGGGGATGGAAAACGATGTTCAGGTTCCAACTAACTCAAGAAATACTCAAGGGGTATACTCAAGAGCTATTCCTTGAGCTAGCCAGTGCTAGATGATACAATGCACCCAAGGGCTATACCCAAGGGATGGACATGTATACCATCCAGTTCAGTAGCGGAACCACATTAAATAGCCCCAGCTGAAATTTTTTAAAATACTCTTTATATATAACTAAAGTTTTAAATTTACCCTTAAATACCCTTGGTTTTGCCCCTGATCTAGTTCCCTAGAGTCGCTCCTCCCATAAATATCACTAATTTAAGTCAAAGAACTGGCAGTACTTAAGACCTATCATGATACAGACTATGAAAAAATATATCAAACAATAAAACCTCTCCCGTTCTAGGAACTTTTTTCAAAATGAAAAGAAATTAAACTATTCTAGTGCGGACTATGGGAAAGACTCTTGATCAAGAATCAAGAGCCCCTTCGCGACAAGAGGAAGATCACCTAAAGTTCAAAACAAGAGACAACTTCCATCTGAAGCTTATTTCGTAAAACTGTCTGCTACCGCATTAGCTTCATGATCTATATGCTCAATTGTAAAGGAATGGCGCTCAATGATAGCCGCAATTTCCAGCAGTGAATGTAAATGCCTCCATGGAAAACCTTTACCCTTCATCAATAGATCCACCAACACCTTATTGTCGGATTGAACTAGAACATGATGCAAATCCAAAAGCACACATTTCCTTAAATCGAAGAGCAAACCCGCAATTTCAGCCTCCCTGTTATCTCGATCCCCTATAAAACCTAGCTCACCATATATAAAAATACCACCACCACCTTGAATAATAAAACCATACCCAGCTTCTTGAAGGCGAGAATCATCAGTATTCAAAATTTAGGCATTTGAATCTGGAGGCTTCCGGCTAACTTAAGTGAATAAACGCCTCGTAACCCTGCCAATCCGAACATTAAAATGTTGCTCCAGAAAAGCCAACTCTGAGGCTGATTTACTAGGCAAAGAAAGGATCATCAGAAAATCAGTAATATCCGATGACATCCAATGAATCAGCTTCGAATCAGAGTCCACAGTCCCGTTATACAAACTCTTTGTTCCGACTTTTCCATAGTTCCCAAATTATGAGACACGGAATTAACATCTTTAAAGTCTTAAGCGCTGTAATAAAACTATCTTGCCCCCACCAAGCGCACAAGATATCCTCTAAATTCTGAACATGTCACAAATCAACTCGAAAAAGCGAAGCAAAGAAATTCCATACTCATCGGCAAAAGGATCAAACTGAAAAACAGTGTTGAACACTATCTTCATGCATATGACAGAGTGGACAAATTGAAGGAAAAACCTGAAAACCAAATTTCCGCAAGATTTTTGGAAATGGAAGGAGCATATTGCGCAATTTCCACATAAACCATGAGACCCCCGAAGGGATTCCCGTATGCCAAATATTCTTCAAAATTGGTTCCACCATTCTCCTCCTTCTCAAGTGATCATAGGCATACTTGACCGTAAAAATTTTAGACGGCTCCAGTTTCCAGATCAGAACATCCTGATCATCTTCAAAATTCATTTCCATCGCATCAAGTGTCCCAATTACCTCATCTTGCAAGACCCCCGAGAATTCCCCTATTAACTGATGCTTTCGATCAAAAAACTTCTTATAGAGAGCTCTGATCTAGGTGGCATCATATCCTTTTCATCCCAGATAACTCCAAGGGACGACCAATTGCTGTGCCAGAAAGAGCTATTGCCGCAGCGGACGATAACTTTGGTGAGGGAACTAGCGCGAAGATGCACCTCTTCAATCCCCAAGAAGTCTTCCTTAGCACTGTTGCAGACAAAGAAAGCAAAAACCGGCTCCAAGGACCGGCCTTCCGTTTGATTTTCCACCAAAGTTTGGGAGAGAAAGAAGCAATTACATCATCAAAACCCCGTAGCCCAACACAATTTTTAACAGTTGGGTAAATAAGGTTGCCCCAAGCTCGCCAATGTCTCTCCTGTTTACCGTCAGATTCACCCCAAAGTAACTTTTGACAACGCTTCTCAATATCCCTAAGGACAGACTTTGGCGGAGGTATTGCTGCGAATATATGAATCGGAATGGTACTCAAGACATGTTTTATTAAAAGTAGTCTCCTAGCAGGGTTTAAAAGTTTGTTTTTCCAGCTTGAAACCCATTGATCAATTATATCTACTGAAAATTGGAACGTCGAAGCCTGTCTCCTTCCCACATATATCCGGCATGCAAGATAAACAAAGGGAAATGAGCCCTTTCGCATGTCCAAAATCTGCTTAAAAATCTCAATCCGACTTGCACGACATCCATTTGAAACAAGGAAAAACACTTTTTTACCTATAGATTATTTAACCCAAAGCCTTCACATAGGTTTCGAAAAAATCATTCAGAGTTTGAAGCGATCTTTCCAACCCCTTGGTAAAGATTATCAAATCATCGGCAAAACTTAAATGGGAAACTACTTGAGACCCAGCCGGCACACCAAATGTGGCAAGATTTCCAGAGTTGTGGAGATCGTTTAGTTTCCTTGTCATTGCCTCGGAAACAAGTATGAATAAATATGGAGAGATTGGATCACCTTGTTTGTACCCCTTGTTGCGTGAAAGAAACCTGCCAGAGCTCCATTGATCAAAACAGAAAACCAGCTTCCCTTCAAGTTATTTAAAATTAGGGTTATGAAGTGCTGCAAAAAACCAAAAGCTTGCAGAACCCTTGACAAAAAAGACCAAGAAACCCGGTCAAACACCTTCATCATATCCACTTTAAGAATAATATTATCCCGTACCACCTTTCTGTTGAGAAATTGGCACAAATCTTGAGTTAACAAGATGATGTCTGTAATGTCCTGCCCTGACAAAAACGCCGATTACTCCTCCAATATCAGCTTTGGCAAGAATAGCTTCAATCTCTTAGTAATGAGTTTAGTAAAAATCTGATTGAGAAGGTTGCACAAACTTATCGGACTGAAATCCGAAAAAGTGGTAACTGAGGTCTTCTTTGGAATTAGGACAATCATTGTATTCGCCACTGCTCGCGGCAAAGGAAACCCCAACATAAATTCCCGGCACGCATTCAAAAGATCACTAGATATTATTTCCCAATAGCGCCTATAAAACGAACCTCCAAAACCATCCACTCCCGGCGCACTCTCATTGCTAAGATTAAAAACTGCCTCTCGCAATTCATCAAGTTCCACTTGCTTAGTGAGAGCGGTGTTATCATTTTCCTTCAAAATTAAAGGGATGTGTTCAAGGAGAGATTCAAGAGCCTCTTCCCTACCCTCACATGATTCTTCACTCATCAGATTTTGAAAGAAACGAATAGCTTCCTCTTCAATTTAGCCCCTATTCTCCAACCAAGTTCCATCTTCAGCTTGAATCCGATGGATTCCCGTGCGCATCCTCCTCTCTACAAGCGAAGCATGAAAAAATTTGGTGTTTGCGTCACCTTCTTTTAGCCATTTTAGCTTCATTTTCTGGCGTAAAAATTCTTCCTGTTCTTTATGTTAGCAAGGAGTGAAGCTTTCGCAGCATTTAAATTCATTTGACTTGCTTTCGATGGGTCTCCGTCATAAATTCTTTCTATGGTTTGCACTCTTCCCTCTTCTTTCCGAATATTTTCAAAAACATTCCCAAAAATTGTTTTATTCCATTCCTTCAACACCCTTTTAGCTTTCTTAATTTCAATGAAAAAGCTAGCATACTGTAGGCTGCCACCGTCTCATCCCAACTCTTCTTCACAAGGTCAAAAAATAGAGGACGCCTAAGCCACATGTTTTGGAAACGAAAAAGTCTAGGCTTATCAATCTCATGTTTCTCAAATTTATGTAGAAGCAGACAGTGATCTGAAGTTGTTCTATTCAAATTCTCAATAAAAGTAACCGGAAACAAAGATTGTCATTCATTGGAGAAGAGAACTCTATCAAGTTTCTTGCTGACCTATCTCGTCTGTTCTGTACCGCCCCAAGTAAATTGTTCTCCAATAGAAGGAAGTTCTAACAATTCGCAAACAGCAATACATTAATTAAAATCCTCAATGGCACTATGATCCTGGACAGAAGTTCCCGAATATTCCTCAAGCGATCTAATCACATTAAAATCACCTGCTACCATCCAAGGTACACATCCATACCACCAAACACTTTGTCGCGCCTGTCTAGTAGACTTTGCGTAGACCGCTGAGACATAAAAACTTCCCGAAGCTAAGCCGTTCTGAATTTCCATTTAAAAAACCTTCTCATTATCTTCCAAAATTGATACATCGTATTCCTCCTGACAAAATATCCAAATCTTGCTGGTACAAGAGGAGAAACTTTTATCAAAAGCCAACTCCTGACAAATCTCCTCAACTTTATGACTTGGCAGCATAGGCTCTAAATTTATTAAAAAGGTAACCCTATGCAATCTTTTCAACATTTTCAATCTTCTTTGCGAGGCTTGAAATTTTTATATCTCGTATATTCTAAATAATTTGACTAAATATTGGAGAAAGATGAATTTTACCTCACCCGGAGCGAGCGCCATGGCACCAAACCCGCCTACATTTTAAGCCTCTCCGCCTCCGTTTTCCTTCCCCGTTTCCCTTTTACTGTAATGCGCCGATTGCTAGACTTATGAATCCTCCTTTTCCCCTTCTGACCGTCGTCCAATTTCTTCATTTATTTCATCATCAGTGTCTTCCTCTCGGCGGTACTCAACCTGCGCATCATACTGAATCAGTAATCTTTCGGTTGAGTCCACCGGGGTGGGCAAAACCTCCTTTTCAGCCGCCAAATTCATGGATCCCGCCAATTCCTTTTCGTTATTGATCAGAGGCACCTCAGAATAAATCTTTTCTACTTCATCTTCAGATTCTTCAATGGTTTCCAAAGCAGAGAAGCGATTAGTTTGCTTTGGTTCAGCGCTATCAGGCAAGAAAGCGCGTTGTTTTTCCAGCGGGCTGTCAAATGTGACAGCGAGCTCTGTCTGCTCCTGCACACTATGACGAACTTCGGTTGTATTTACTGTGGTATCCACCGCAACCGTTGTCTCCTCCTGTACATCCATCGGGATCAGGGCTTTTTCTTGTATGGTTAAACCCGATGTGGAGACAGTGTTATCCACCAATTTGTCTGTTTGCTCCTTTAATGTCACCCCCACCTTTGGCTTCCACTTTGGCTTTGTGGGTTTCAGAACAATTCCTTTACCTTTTTTATTTTGATCAGAATCCTTCATAGTGTCATTCGGCTACCTTAGTGTATGACTGAGGAGCCAGACCTTGTTTGCATTCTTCTCGCTTATAGCCAATTTTTGCTACACTTCGAAAAATATGAAGGAATGTGCTCATAAGTGAAATATTGTTCGTGTTTTCTTTCTTTCTTTCCAATTCGAACAAACTTTGGAAATTCCTTTGTCAAGTCTGCTTCAACACAAAATCTAGCCACAGATGGTCTTGTTGTATTCAAAGTTGGGGCATCCACCTTAAGCGGCTTACCAATAGTAGTCGGCATAGAAAAACATTACCTCCAGATTGAGGAATTCTACCGGAAGATCATATAATGATACCCATATCGAAACAATTGGCAGGTCTTCTTCAAATTTAAATCCAGGTGTCCACTTCAAGATGCATATTGAATATCCGGCTATGTTCCAAAAATTTCTAATCCAGCACCTCTAATAATCTTCTTTGCGATCGAATCGAATTAGAATGTGTCTATGGTTCATCAATCCAATTATATAGCCTCCCTGAAATCCTATCTTTCGAAATTTCTTGTGAATTTCCTCTATCTTGGGTCATCTATAAGAGAACTTGCCAACCAAACTCAATTTGTGCGGCGCTACAAGTCGCTCCAATTCGTCTTCTTCGAATTCCAAAACCAGTGCCCCATCGACGAATTTGACCTGCTTTATGAGCAAGGGTTTCTGCCGTTCCAGTTCCACTAGTTGCTGAAAAAAGCTCGCAAAGCATCGAGGGGGTCCAGTGGGGATTCCCCCTTGATGATCGCCGGCCTTGTTGGCCGTCGGTTAAGCAAGAAAGTTGCCGTCGTCTGCTAGGGTTGAGAGAGAGAGAGATTATTTTTCCTTCACTATCTTGATATATATATATATATGTGTGTGTATAAAGTTTCCCAATGCTCATAATAAAGTTTCTGATCTTTTTCTTGATGTTTTTCTATAAATTAGACTCCTCAACAAATAAAATAAAATCCTCTTCTGATAAAAATTTTACGTTCTAAAAATTTCTACTTTTTTTTTCTCTTTTCCAACAAAGTGGTATCAGAGCATAGGTTCAATTTAAGGGATATGTGCAAATGAATTAGTGAGGACCTTCTGACAAACAAATTCTTTTTTAGCCAATCTTCTTTTATCAATAGAAGGAGGGAATAATTTCATGTTTACTCGTCCAGTTTTTAAAGGAGAAACTTATCATATCTGGGCTATGAAAATGAAAGCCTATCTAGAAACAAATGGATTATGGGAGTTGGTGAAAAATGGTGCATTCCGACCACTTTCCTGAAGATCCAAAAATTGCACATTTAAAGAATTTAGGGAGGCTAAAAAGAGGAGGAACAAGGCCAAGACCTGTATTCACATTGTTGTATCAGAAGAGTTGTTCACAAAAATCATAGTCTGCGAGATAGCGAAACAGGCATGGGATATTTTGAAACAAGAATATCAAGGCAATGTGAAGATAAGGTGAATGCGAATCTTGAATTTGAAAAGGGAATTCGAGATATAGAAGATGTTGGAGACTGAGCCATTGAAGGACTGCACAGATCTATTGATGAAAGTAGTCAATAAAATCAGAGTTTTGGGAGAGCAACTTCCAATAGCCAAGTTTTTGAAAAAATATTGGTTACTTTCCCAGAAAGATTTGAGTCCAAGATTTCATCTCTTGAAGAAACTAGAGATTTATCAGTAATATCTCTAGCAAAACAACCTTCAACCATTGAAGCTCAAGAGCAAATAAGAGTTTTCAGAAAGAAAAAATAGATGTAATTGAGGGAGTTTATAAAGTAGACGAAACTGGTAAAACTAAAAAGTGGGATAGGAAGGCAGTTGGAGACAGTGACATTAAAAAAAAAAGGAAAATATCCTCCTTGTAACACTCTAAGAAACCTTTTCATTTACCACAATATTGTTGGTTTAGACCTAATGTTCAATGCAGGGATTACAAACAATGTGACACGTGGAAAAAGTGTGCAAGAACAAGCAACAAATTAAGTTTGTGAATGAAGAAGATGAAGATGAAGATGTAGACTTGCTTTAAAGATGTAGGAATTTGCAGTAAGAAAAGGAGGAAATTTGTCTGTTAAATTAATTTGTTTTACTGCAAAGATTTAATTAGAGGAATAAATTTTTTTAGTTAGGATTGAGATTTATGTAGATTTGTTTAGATTAGAATTAGTTTTGGAGATTTTTTCAGTATTGTCTTTAGAGATAATATAGGATTTGAAGAGTTATTTTCTCTTTTAGTTACTTTAGAGTTGTCTATGAATTAGACTTCTAAACAAATAAATTACAATCCTCTTTTGATAAAAATTTTACGTTCTAAAAATCTCTGCTTATTTTCTCTCTTTCCTAACACTTGTCCCGTATTCTCCTACATAAAATATTATTGGGTGTAAGTGGGTATATAGAAATAAGAGAAATCCTGATGGATCAATTGCTCAATACAAAGCTAGATTGGTCGTTAACATCCTGGCATTGATTTTATTGAGACCTTTAGTCTCGTGGTTAGTAGCTCACGGTTGGACCTTACATAAATTGGACTCAAGTACTCTTACTAACTCTGTTTACATGTAGCAACCTCCAGGGTTTATTGACTCTCAATACCCTCATTGTGTTTCCAAGTTAAAAAAGCCATTTATGGCCTTAGTTAGTCTCTGCGTGCTTGGTGCAATGAGCTACGTTCATTTCTTGTTGCTTATGGTTTCATCCAATCTCACAGCAATACTTCCTTATTTATCTACCATCGTGGATCTCAAATTTTATATTTGCTAGTCTACGTTGATGCATCATCTTAACAGGGTATGCTGTTATACTTATTAGTGCCTTTACTACTCAAATATCAGGTAAATTTTCACTCAAGGATCTAGGCAGTCTTAACTATTTCTTAGGGGTGGAGACTATTCATACTCCCGAAGGACTTTTTCTGTCTCAACAAAAGTATATTCTGGATCTTCTTGAGAAAACAAAGATGATCAACTCCAAGGATGTAAGTACACCACGGTCTCCCTCTACTACACTTCAGCTTGTTGAGGGTTCATCTCCGCATGATGTGATGGAATACCATCAAGTGTTGGGTTCCCTTCAATATTTGTCATTCATCCTGCATGATCTTAGTTTTGTTATAAACAAGCTCCCTCAATTTGTGCACAAACCAACCAGCACTTATTGGATGGCTGTCAAACGGATCCTTCATTATCTGAAACGCACTTCTCATTATGGCTTATTCATATATTCATCCTTAGCTCTAACCTAACATGCTTTTGTCGGCGTTGATTGGGCAAGTGACTTGGATAGTTGGTTTACTTCAGCATATGTGGTATATTACAGATCTAATCCTATTAGTTGGAGCACTCGGAAACTATCCACTATCTCTAAATCATCCACCGAAACTGAATATCGATCACTTGCAACCACCACCGCTGGGATCAACTTGGTTACCAATCTTCTACATGAGTAAGCTCTTCTTTTATCGATCATCACCACCTGTTATTTACTGTGACAATATTGGTGCTGCATATCTTTGCTCTAATCCTATGTTTCAATCTCTCATGGAGCACATAGCCATTGATTTTCACTTTGGTCGAGATCAGGTGCAACACAAGAATCTTCACATTTCTCGTGTACACACTTCAGACCAACTCGCTGACTAACTTACCAAGCCGTTGACTCGTCTATTGTTTTCTTTGCAACGTTCCAAGCTTAGTGTCCTCCCAAGACCCTTACGCTTGCGGGGCATGATAGAAGAGAATGTCAAACATTGATGATAGGTGATCACATCCCTTAATTGTAGTGATTTGATCATGACTGTAGATGTATTAGCCACAATATACACTTCCGTAATTATATCAATTATGTATCTAGACTAGGATGTTTTATTATTCATTCACTACCTTGTGTACTTACACATGTGATGGGATCAATAGAGAATCAACTGATTACCATTCTATTAGGATCAAATTTAGACTGAGGCAGACTCTTTGGTTTTCCTTCCTAAGTTGTATTCATAGCGAATGGGGGTTTTCCTCTTATAGGAAAATAAGTACTCTTATGCACAATTTATACAATTCAAAAATGCTAATGAACATAATGTGCACAGAAAAGAAAAATGCTAATTAACACATGCATGAAATCGCTAGTACTTTTACATATGACAAAAAATAAAGTCTTTTTGGTAGTTTTCTTTTTCTAAAGGTCTTTTTGGTATTAATTGCACATCGGAGATAGAATTAGTAGTAGTCAGTAGTCAGATAGTTATATTTGAAATTAAGAACAAATTTAAAATATTAAAAAAATAAAAGAAAGATAGTCATGAATCATTTGCAATATCAATCTTACCAGCAAGCATAATACATATTATCATGTCACAATATTACATCAATTTTTTCTTCCTTTAATTATCCGAGAATCCCGTGCACACTGCTTCTTCCGCACGATTTTCTGTACTTATGTGGGACTGAAAAATAATAATAGACAAAAGTGAATGTAATAAGCGGCATATTAAAAAAGAAAAAAGGTCAAAAAAATAATAAGGTAAAGGCAATATTGTATTTCTTTTGTGTTCCTTAAAAGAAAACTCATAAATGTGGGAAACTTCTCCCTTGCATACCCAAATGGAATTCAATACTTGAATATCTAAAAGAGTTCACGTAGAATTTTATCACAACCTAGATATCACTATGTTAAAAATAAAAATAAAAAATTGCATTTTGTAGTGTACACTGGCAATGATTCTTGCAGGGCTTGCAGTACTTCGACAACAAGAATTATTTCAAGAAAACAAACTCTCTTTTTCATAGTTCTTACATATTCTAGCATAATCTCTTCATTCACTTATTTGCTTTTCCTTGGCTGCAAAAATGTTTCATTCGAGCAAGAATGCTACTTTGGAAGATAAAACCCTAATAATTTCTTTATTCGTGTGTGGTCTTTGTGGTTCAAGTTCTGCAAAACCATTGTCAGTTATTAAATTTTTATTTATTTGGGTTAGGCATATAAAATTATAAAAATAAATGACCAGAAAGGCAATTGAATGATTCACTTTGATAAATTTTCAAAATTCCTAATTATTGAGAATTAGAAATATGATTTCTTTCAACAGAAAGTTTTGATATTGAGAAATAATTTGAGGTAGCGGTGGAGGTATGGATTTTAGAGGAGGTGGAAAAATGGACTTACCTGTTTGAGGTAGAGGATTTGGATGATGGAAATATTTTAGGGGCGAACTGGAAAGAAAAAAGGATAAAAGAAATCTATTTTTTTGGATAGAAAATTAAAAAGAAACGAACAAAAAAGTTAAATAAACTAAATCTAATGTGGTAAAAGGATGATATGGATGAATACGTTAAAATTTTATAAAAGTAGTAAAATAAATCTTATGAATTGATGAGGAGAACCAAGCCCGATTGCTATTTTTTTATAAAAAAAAAAAAAAATCTTTTGTGAAATCCCGTACCACCTAGTTTTCTTTTTTAATATAGTAAACAAGGTATTTTTTTCCTTTTTCTTTTTTCTTTGAGGATGTAATGTTTCAATATTTTTCTTTGGTGAAGAAAATAATACTCTAAGAATTAAATCCATTCTATCATGACACTTTTGACTGTTGTGACATTGGTTGCAAGTACCACTGCCCGTGTCTTGATAGAGTACAAATCTATTAAGACCTTTAATTTATGGTGTCACATTAGATTACCTTCGGGTCACACGAAAATGCCTAAATAGATTTTTTTTGGGTTAAAAAAATTTATTTTTATGCTTTAAGTGCCATTAATAAAATTCAAAATTATTATCAATCTAATCAATACATCCTTAATAAGAAGATTTCAAAATTCGCCTTTCATGAATGTTTTGAAGAGCACGAGAAATGGACTATTTGCAATCAAAGTTTGACCCCCAAAAAAAAATACATTGGGTTCCAACTTCCATGCCAAGATCAGCTTAGAGTAATTGTTATTTGAATCTCTAAACTTCAAATAAATAATTACATTATTTTTAGTTTATTTCATTTAGAAATTGTTGATTATGTGATTTATTTAGTGCCATAGATTGTTCCTTAAATCATTACTCATCTTTACAGCTCATGCAATTTGATATAACGTAACAAAAGTAAGACTAAGATTTGTTTTAAGCTTTATGATTACTACTTTAGAGTATTACAACATCACAAACTTTAAATTAAGGAGCATCAACTTTCAAACGCGAGTGCTTATCATGCTCAATATATACAAGCAATAAGCGGATCACGATGTGTTAAACTGGACAACATAATAAATACTACAATCTACCATACCAATGATACCACCGAAATGATTATTGCAAAGAGTAATAATGTCATTATAAGCTGCTTCCATACAGGTGGTGCAATCATCAGCACTAAGGTTTGCGTTACAATCTCCGTGAGCAAATACATTGAAATGGCCATTATCGACGTCCCCGTTAATAATAGTATTGTGTACAAACTTTGGGTCATGTGGTGTCACGCTCAGTACTTCATGAAGTGCCTCATTAACAACATCGCCATAAGGGTCATCGTCAGAGTACGTGGCCGGACTACATCCTTCGGAATTAATGTCGGTGTCAGGATCGCTGTTCGCCACCGTGCTGCAGCTGCATAGTAAGGCCACCATCAATAGTAATGTTGTTGTAACATGTAGCCTCATGATCTTAAATCGCAAAATTCTTGAAAGAAATATTATGCTCTTTTTTGTTATTTGATAGATGGCTGATATGATCTTGTTTGAGAAAGTGGGGGATTAAATAGGTCTTGAATTTTATTTATTTTTTTAGATTTCTCCGCAATGGTAACAATAACTATGCGAGAAAACGATAATTTGTCCATGTTTGCAGGCTAAACGATTCCTCCATACCGGAATACAATAATATGAGATGGAACTTTGTTCCAAATATGGGTTTCTCTAGAAGCTTACTTATGCGTTTAAATTATTAGAATATGAAACAACGAAAAACTAAAAGGAAAAAAAAAAGAAAATGAAACAAAGTTAAACTCAATCAATCGATATAATAATCAAAATTCGCGCATAATATTTTCGAAATGTTGATGAACAAAAAAAAAAATAATATTACTGAAAATCCTGCAAATCGTTAAGTTCATAAGTTTTGACTTTTTTAAATTCAAGAACAACCCAACAAATTGCAATACCCATAACAAATATCTATATTTTCAGCTCTGCATTAATTTCGTCTCCCCTGTGTTGTGCGCCACCAAACCAGCTAAAAAAATAGAAACAATATTACCTGAGCCCCAAATCAAATTTTTTTTTTTTTTGGTAACGCTGGTTACTCCATTAGAAATGGGTAAACCCATTCCGAAAACAAATTTTCATGCCTGAAATTTATTGTACACTGTCTGAAACACATACGTATTAATTTAGTTTAATTATTTAAAGGCCGTAAGAATAATACTATTTTATAAATTTAAATTTACACAATGAAAATCTTACTTAAAGTGGTGTCCACAGGGGCGGAGCTAAGTAGAACCGAGATGGGGCAATTGCCCCAGCTGAATTTTTCCTCATTACTTTAATTTATCCTTATTTTTTAAAAAATTTGTCAATATTCTTCATTTTTGCCCCAGTAAAAATTCAAAAGACAAGGGGCATAAATAAAAAACTACAAAATAACTTTGATTTGAAGGAAAAAGTTCTTAGTGGAGAATTGATTTCTATTTTATGTGTAATTTGTTATGCGGATTATTTTTGTGGAACAAAGAGTAGTTTATAGACGTTATATTTTTTACTCCATCTAGTGTTCGGGACTTGGCTCCGCCCCTGGGTATCCATATATTTCTATAATCAAACTTGTTTCTAATCATGCATGGTTTATGGGATCAAAAAGATGTTAAAGCGAGAATGGGTGATTAAGTTAAAATATGTATTTTGAGAGGTTAATTTACAACGAATTATTTATTTTCATTTGCAGGTCGGGAAAATTTTCGATCGGGAGTCAAATAATAATTAGAAGATGATGTGATTAGAATAGTACACATTCTCGTAATATCTTAATTTGACATTCATCGTGATTTAAAAAAAAATTAATCGACATTAGTAGCAATTTGTTATCATCCTTATACTTAATATAAAGGCACAGTAGGCAAGAAATTAAATGTCCAAGAAATATTCAGGGCCACCTTCAAAGCAATCTCGTCCGTCGGATTGAGTTGATATGACGTCAGCGACTTATTAAGGACAAAATCAAAATTTAATAAATACAGTTCCTCACTAAATTTTAAATTTAAAACCGGAAACTTTTAATAAAAAATCCCCCACTCCCAAAACGACGTCGTTTCGCAGGGTTTATATAAAAATTCTGGAAGCTTTAAACTTTTGATGGAAAACCCTCCACCTCAAAACTAGGGGTAAAATTGTAAATTTAAAAATAATTTCTTTGCTATTTTCTCTTAAAACCCTGAAATATTTTAGTACTGAATATTTTTAGCCATGAATATATCTCGATTGCCGCCCCCCTCCACCAACCTAACCCATCACCGGCAATTGAATAAAAGTAGCTACCAAAATTCAGATGGAGATCCAAGCGGATTTTTCCCCTACTCGTCCCACCATCGCGCCAATAGGAGGTGATGACTACTCCGATCAACTCAGAAGCCGGGATTGGCAAGATTTCAGCCCGTTCATTGATTATGAATGGTGCAGAAGTCAGCTTCAAAACATGCTAATCAATCCGTTGTCAACCGAATCTGAGGATGGGTCAAAATCGACAGAGAACGGGGGGAGGCTTCTTCAATTCTGGAACTCTATGATGGTCATGTGTTGAAGTTCCAGACTCATCGCAATCGCCATGGAGCCTTCGCATTGCGAGAGATCAACAACGTTCAATCAACGTCCTGGATCGACCGTCGTTCCGGCCCTTTCCGGTGTTTCCTTTGTCAAGGCTTCCAATTCTGGAATCTACTCCAACAAGCTCGTTGAAACCGCTGTATGTTCTCTTTCCGGTTTTTCCCCTTTCAATTTCGTAATTTCCTTGTTGAGTTTTTTTTTTTTTTTCTCTAAGCAGCTTTTCTCTAAAATTTGAACTTCACTTTTGGTTTTGTAATAATTCAGTTCTGATTCTGTTGGGGGTAACTGATTATAACCATAAAGACGTTATCTTTGTACCTAGAAATTCTTTAAGTTAGAAAAAAATTAGTCAGTTGAGAAGCTTGGCCTTATTAGTCTGATAATTATCGTATTGTTTCATCCTCATGTATTTTATTTTTCTTTTTTGAGTGTGTTCTTATAATCATAGGGAAGCCTGCCAGCGCCCTTTAAGTAGATATATTATAATAATGTATTTGGTGTTTATGAAGTCTCTCTGTTACTTACTTAATATTGTTTTATAGCATCAAATATAGTTTGCCTAATATTGTTTTATTTTATCCAGCTAGCTCGCTTCTGCCCTGCTAGTTGCTCGTTGCTTGCACATTGCCTCTCCCTTCTTTTGGGTAAAAGGTGATGCTTAATCTGTGATCAGATGCTCTGTTTATTGGTTTGGTTGTTAAGCAGATAGGCAATCAGATATTATGCTATGGAAGTCAACCAGGTGAGATATCATCTTCCTCTTATAAATTCTTTATTGACAATTTGTTGGATCAGTTCTTTATCATGGTGCTTTTTAAAAATTTCTTAAGCTGGCTGCATTTGGTAAGAATAAATTATTCTTAACATAAAGATGAAATTAATGTAAAATTACATACCCCCTTGACTTTCTGTCTGGCCTGGTTTTCAATTGTTGTTATCCGTTCTTGACTGAGTTTCTGACAATGCTCGTAGTCAATTTAGTTTCCGGATTTTGTATGTTGTGTTTGTTTGGTCCTGCCCTAGAGATATGAGTTTATCAAGCAAGACACAAATAAATGTGATATGTCATATGCTTCCACCATGTAATTTTTGCTATGTTTATGTGTTTTCCAGATGACAAAGCGTCTTTTATCTTCAAGAATAGATGGGATGGATGGGATGGAGCTCTCTTTTCTAGGCGTGAGTGGTAGCTATTCCCTTTCACTACAATGCACTTATCCTGAGTGATAGAGAGCCTAGCTATTGTTGGTCCATAAGTTATTTTTTGAAATATTACATAGTTTCCAATAAAGGACATCGATAGAAGCTGTTAATGTGACCAGGTATGAATAAGATGGTTATAAATCATATGGAAGATTTTGTGACAAATGATGTTGCTCCTATTGCCAATGAGCTTGAGGTTCAGAACCCTGCAGCTAAGATTTTTGGTTCTAGCTGGGAACGTCTAGCTGCCAGGAAATTGGTGATGCAACCAATCTATGTGTATCTTTTGATCTCTTCAAACTGCTGAGGAGCTCATTCGGATGGGCCTCCATCCAAGTAAGATCATTATTAGATACACCAAGGCAATCAACGACGTTTGCTCTCCATACTTATCCACGGATTTCATGTATTGCTGTTGCTCTCCCTGGTTATCCATAGTCTCAATCTTGCTGGTGGTGCCCATGTTTGTTATTTTCCTTACTGTAGTTGTCATTAGCTCTCTTCAACCACATTTAAATTGCAATCTCTCATCTGCATCTCATTTTGTGTGCATAATCTTTTCGTTGATAAGTAACATGCAATTAATTTTATAGCTTTTTCTATAATTCTCTTTCTGCTTTTTCTTTGCTTATATTTCATAGAAGGCGGCATTCACTTCTTCCATAAAAAGCTGTCAACCTAAAATGTTTGACCTTTTGATTCAAGGGGCTTTTATGCTGTTTTGGAGGTTTTGGTCATGATATATTTTTCAATTTGTCTTGTTGTCAAGCAGAGAAAAGTAAACTTATCCAAGTTTGGTTTATCAATAATGGTACTCATTTTTCTGGGGCTAAAACTTTGTTACGGTAACACATTCAAAGGTTAATTTTTGTAAAAAGTGTAACAATTCAATTTTCTATTTTGTAATTTTCAACACATTGTGTCTCTTTTGTGTAATTAAATCATCTTATAGTAGATGTGTTACAAAAGTGTAACAAAAAGTGTAACAACTGCAGACTAATAACTTTCTCATGCTTTGGATATGTTCTCCTTTTCATTTAGCTTCTATTATACATTGTTTACGTATTGTTTATGTTTAGCTTCCCGTATTTTTTCTTTTGTTTTCATGCGCTTGTGCTTTTATTGTGGTTGTTTATGCGTACTCACTATCATGAAAACAACCCTCTCTATCTCTATCTCTTTCATTTACAATTCTTTTACATCTTTGTCTGTTTCCTCTTTTTACTGCATAATTTGTTGAGTAATGTTATTTTGTTGAAATTTCGAGCCTGTCTTATTTTTCTTTTTTTTTTCTTTTGAAGTCTCGATTATTTTTGAAGTGATTTTGACTCTGGGTTTCATAAGAGGAAGGAGAAGAGGAGAAAAAGCCTCAGCAGAAACAACACGAAGCTGAAAGGGAAAACATATAGAACCCTACAGAAAGGTTCAATTTTTTTTCCTTTATACTACTGATTCCACGGTTAATTTTTCTAAATTGTTTGTAGCACCTCATACTGTTTTAGCCACCCTTATTGGCTATCCTGTTTCGATTTTCAATTGCTATGGGGAAATTAGCATCTAATTTTGAGTTGCACCGCTCACTCTATTGCGCGAGTGAATGATTTCAATTATGCTGTTGTATGCTTTTATTTTATATGTTGGTA